AGCAAAAAGAAAAAAGCCAGAAGTGGCGCTGTGGCTCAAGTGGTAGAGCGCTAGCCTTGAGCTGAAGAGCTGAAGGACAGCGCTCAGGCCCAGAGTTCAGGCCCCATGACTGGACCCAAAAAAAAAAAAAAAAAAGTGCAAGACACTGCTTTGGGGGACTGGCATTTAACACTAAAATACCCATGGCACTTGTTAGCTGTATACAAAAAACCTGGTATGTTGAGTTTTCATTTTTAAGTTTAAAAAATTTTGAACTGTTGTTCCCTCCGAGGTGAAAACTTACGGCATGGAATTGTGTGAGATCACTCATAGTGAAAATCTGGAGTAGGCTGTGATATGCTATGTAAAAAAGCTGAACTAGAGTGAAAAGTAAGAACCAACAGATCACCCAGCAAGCCATTAGGCACACAGAGCCACACAGCCTGTAACCTGTCTATAGCCAGGTCGGACCAGTGTGTGCTACCTCTAGGAAGTGTTCTCAAGGGAGTGACGCACACCTCTTCCTTTTCTTCTGGCGGTAGGCAGCCGTGATGGGAGATGCAGCAAGCTCATCAGGAGGATGTGGCCTCACAGCCTCCGTGAGTGGGGGAATGGTGAGCTGTCCTCTAGTCTGGTTGCTTCCATTTATGAAAGTCTCAGATGCACTTCCATCCTATGTACAGTAATGTTGCTTTGGGATGTTTATTACTAGTAGCAGAAATCTAATTATAACTATTGAGAGACAGAGATACTTGGAGTCAGAGGAGGGAAGATTGAAACCAACCTACATCCCTGGCTCAGAGAGAGCAATTCTCCTGTGAAAACTCTGAAGCAGCACTATGGACACACACATCCATGTTTTCAGTGGACACACTGCATGTGTCTGTGAAGACATGCACATGCAGACCTGTTACATAGTGGGAGGGTGTGTCTGTGATGTGTGCACACATGAACAGAAGTGTTTATATATGCATGTGTTTGTAAAGATTTATGCATATGTGGACATAGGACCTGTGTTCATGCACATGTGTGCACGTGTGCTGCTGGGTGGCGCATGTTTGGGGATGTGTGTGTGCAGTGTATTTGCATCAACATGAATGAAATGTGTGTAAGCACTCATTTGAAAGTAGCAGTAGAGAAGCTGTGGCAAGCACTGAATTTGTTATTTTATACAGCCATATGTAAGTTCTAAAACTCCCATAAAAGATTACTGTCCCACTTTTAAGATGAAGAAACTACAACCTAGAGGACTGTAATTACTACCCAAGGTGAGAGTCACCCTCAAACGTGCCTTAGTGTGACAGGTGACAGTCATGAGCACACACATCCATGGTGACACTTCTGGTCACCATGGAGACCATGACCACCTCATAATGTGCTATTAAATACAGCTACAGAGAAGAGTGCTTACTACTTCATGATACCACTAAAGGTTTTTTTTTTTTTGGTCCGGTTGTAGAACCTGAACTCTGGGCCTGGGCGCTGTCCCTCAGCTCTTCAGCTCAAGGCTAGCGCTCTACCACTTGAGCCACAGCGCCACTTCCGGCTT